TGGAGCAGCTTCTATTCATCGCTGTAGGACTGTAGGTAATCCCATTCCTCTCAGAGTCTCTTTGAAAAACTCTTATTAAGCAGGAATTATATCTGCAACTAGCATTCTAGATCAGTTAGTGTCTAGTGATGTGAAAGTTTATGTATTAATTCCTGATTTGGATGACTACTTAGGAAAAATATCACATTGTAATTTTCAACTTTGTTTTTATCTCAGTCTATCCATAAATCTTATTCACTACTGGTATTGCAACTGCTTTATTCTAACCAAAACAACCATACAACAAATTAAGTTTTCTATTTCACCTGTTAAACTCCTGAATTCATGAAGCTGCTGTCTCATTTCCTCCAAAGACAAACAGGCATGAAACAGTAATTCATGTACTGCAGTAACTCTGCTTTATGCTTTTCATATGCTGCCTGCAGACACTGACTAGAAATAAAAATTGGAACACACACCAACAGATCTTGTTCTGTTCTCTGTATCTTTTAGCTCCCACACTCTGATTATTTGTTACAGCTCCTACAGCTCTGGGAAATGAGACTTGTAGATACTGTAAACACAGCAGCCCTCCTCCCTTCAGGGTCTTGTTCCTAGGGGGAAGGGAGGAACGGCAGAACCAGTATGCTGTTCCCTTCCCATTTCAGAGGCTGAGATCAGTGACCTATAGAGAATTTCATACCAAGGGAGTCACAAGCAGGTGTTATTAGGAATTCTCATGACAACAGTGGATGAAGATATGTAATTTTATTAACCAACATTCTGCACTCTATTAGTTTATTGTATCACTGTTCTCTATATCACTTCATTTCTTACAGCAAAGAAGGTAAGCTTCTTCCTATAAAAACAAAGTGATTCTATATCCTATGTTGCCTCTTTCTCTCTTGCTATCCAGTGGTCACAAAAGAACTTTTTTTTATCTCTAAGGTCCTGTTTGCTAATGAGGGAAATGTCCTATCACCTCTAATACCAACTAGAACTCAGAAATTGAGAACTCAGAAAAAAGCTAGCTTTCTGCATGTCCTCAGTACTAAACATATCATTATCTTCTCAAAGTGGACGTTTACAAGGAAATGAGAAGAAAAGAGGATATGAGAAATGTAAATGTAAAAGAGCAAAACAAAGTGAAAAGTCTGTTTGTTTTTTTTTTTTTTTTTTTTTCAAATTTACATATACATGTACACTGTCATTAAGTTGCAATTATGATCCATGAGCTTATCATTTAATTAATTCATTAACAGTAATAGTTACTTGGATTGCCACGATCAAACCTCTATCATGGTAATAACTGCATATTCACAAAGGAATTCCTGCTCGAAAAAACATATTATCTAAATGGGCAATATAGACAAGAATCATAAGCCTCATGTTGAGTGAACTGAAAAAAAAAAAAAAAATTAAATTTTTAAAAGAGAGGAAATCTGTATCAGAGTAAGGAACTGAACACATCTCCTCAGTATGTAGTTAATTGACATAAAGACTGTTATGCAACTGCAGCCATTGTAGGCTTCCTGCTTGGAAATCGTTTCCCCAGAAATTTACAATGTACCTATAATTTTATTGTTTATTGCGATAAGATCGTGTATTTTCAGCAGACATGTCTGGTTTTGCGCTTTCTTAAGAAAGTCACCAAGCTCCTTGACTAATTTTGTTTTTCTGATGATCTTTTTATAGGGCTTTGAAACAGACCTCTAGGCCTGAACATAATTTAAAATATATTGTTCAAAACAAACAAGAAAACCAAACTTAAAACAGTGAGGAAGGAAAATTGCATTTCCAGTTAGTCTTTACTTGCTACTAGACAAAGACTGTTCACCCATCTTTGAGCAGCAAATTGGACCAGATGACCTTCTGCACTCCCTTCGAACCTGAATTATCCTACAGTCTTGTGAGAGTACTTTTTTCAGAGGTCCCTTGTGATTTAATTTACATGGAACATCTTATTATTGGCTTCCCTCAGACTAAGTGGAAAGGCAATAACATTGTGACCTGCAAAAGCATTCCCAATCCCTATTGTTGGCTATGATTTTAATTTGTTCTCTGGGATGTACATGTTATTTTACTTGGATGAAAGCCCATGATTAAGAAAAAAAAAAAAAGACATGGTTCTGGAGGAATAAAGATTCAAAGTCTAAAACTCATAACAGAAGAATAAGAATTCTTAGTTTGTACAGACTACTTTTCATGTCTTGCTCTCAAAGCACATGACAATGAGAATTCTTTGATGACTAAGCCTGCAGCCAAAAAAAACCCACAACAAAGCAGGTTTATTAATATGAAGGCTTTCCTCAAACGCAGTATTTTTATGCAGTTTCCACTGCATAAAAAAATCCCCTATGTAATCTATTATTAACAGCAGAACATATATCAGTGCAATTGCATATACCTTTACCTTGTCAGGAAATGCATAAATAAAAGCAGCAAAATCCATAGTTCACTGATGCTTATTTAATTACTTGCCATTAATAGATCAATAAATGGCTTCAGTGCTGATTTGTTTAAATATGTTAACTGAGTAATTTCTCCCTGAGAAGGAATCATTTTGTAAAGTGACATGATCCCCAGGGGGCAAAAAGATGAAAAAGTTGAGTTGCCGCCCTGTCTTCTCCATTTTCTCTGTTCTCTTTGATGCAATTTAAAACAAAAGGATTAGTCTATTCTAAGTGGTTATCTGAATATCTGAAAGGTGTAATGGAAAAGTTCCAACCTAGAAAAACACCTGTGTTCAAGGCCACAAATGCTATCCTGATCCCATGAAGTTTATAGAGGTTTTACCACTGGCTTCAAGAAAACCAGGATCCCACTTCCTGATGAATACAATTTTTTTTTTTTTTTTTTCATTTCTTTGTGTGGGCACTATACTGTAATGATGTATAGAGAAAGCTCTGTGGTGGAAGAAGCCACATGAGTACTTGGAGCTAGTTATGCTGTGACATAAATAGTATGTAATAATATATTTAACAAATAAGGCAATTCTCAAAAAAAAAAAAAAAAAGAAAAAGAAACAGAGAAAGGTATGAAAAATTACTTCCTTAGCTTAGAAACCATAGACTGAAGACAAGAACAAATAGCTTAGAAAGACTAAGAAAGACTGTATTGTCCTGTTCTCCACTAATACACAAGTTAGTGCTGTGCTATGTGTACAAAAAAAATAGGTGTTATGTAAACACTGCAGTGTGGGTTTTTCTGTTACTGTCTACATTAAATGATCTGCCTTTGTTGTTTCTTTCTCTCACTTAAAGGGAAAAAACCCCTACCTCATAGAATATCTCCAGAAACTCACTTTCCAGTCCAAAAAACTGGCTTATAAAGAGTTTGTAAGAAGATTTATCTTTACATATAAAATGTGAAAATGTGAAGAAAAAAGTATCTACAAAATACACCCAAACATTTTTAAGAAGCTTTAAAATGCAAACATCTGGAATTGATTATCCCTTAAATAAATTTTCAGTAAGCTGTTATTTTGTGTGCTGCTTCATTGCTCTTTTAAATCTAGAAGCTAGGGCAAATATTAGCAATTACCATATATGTTTCTTTTATTATAATATATACTAACAAGTACAATTTAGTCCTGAAAGAATAGTCTTATACATTTAAAGGAGAATCTAACACTGTATTTTGTGTAAACTATGAGCTTTTTATGCATGCCATCTCTAGCTCTGTCCCCAAGTAAATTCACCTTCTAAATACCTGCCCAGAGATACATCCATATACTACTTTTCTGAAGCATACACAAGCAGAGAGATTGTATCCATAAGCAGAATCTAATCAAAATGCTTCTAGTTATGAACATGATTCAAGATCCTCTACATTAAGGCCCAAGAAAGAAATCATTTCCCACTTTGCAGAGTCTCTGTGCTATGCTAAATTAAGCAAAATAATAGCAACAGAGACAAACCATGCATTAGAAATAGTTCAAAAACATCAGAGAGGAGGGAGAGGAGTAACAAGCATTACAGTATCTATTAACTAACAGAATGCTTATGGAAATAGGGATAAGATGCACATGCATGCCAAATGAATCCTTATCTGTAGCACCATAAGAAAATACACTATAATAAATTCACGAGGGGAAGCAGCTCAAAGTATAACACTGTAAGAATCCAGACATTAGTTTCATCTGAAATGCATTTTAATTGCTCCCATCACAATGAATTCATTTCACAATCACAAAAATGTGTTATATATTTCCACTTATAACACCATCTTTGTTAAGTACCATTAAAGATTTATTTAACATCAAGTGCTATCATACACAATTAGAGAATAGTTGAAGTACTAGGTGCATATCAAAAGAGTTTCTAAAACTTAATTCTTTCTTTATGGGCTGTTTTACTGATTCTGGAACAACCGCCTTTATCAGTTACGGGTAAGACTTGTTGAGGAGGCACATATAGCAAGCAACACTAGGGCTGTTCTCTTCCAGTAAAGCCACACAGCAAAAGGAGAAACTTATAATGAATTTATTTGTACCTAATAGCATATTATATTTCTCACACAACCACATTACTGACCATGCCAATCTCTACAATTTATAAGGCATCTTAATACCCACAAATACACTGTGTTTAAGAAACTGTTTCAGAGATATTAGGGGGAAAATTCCAAACCTCATTCAGCCAGTGCCCTTGCTGGCTATAGCATATGAAAACCAACAACCCAAAAAACAAGATAAAGTTCAAAGCAATTTTTCAATGCCTCTACTGATTAAACTTTCAAAGTTATCCTGTTTACCAAAAGCCTCCTGCTTTAAGGACCAACATATGTAAGAGAAAAACACATAGATTTGTGGTGTGACAAAATTCGTTTTAGTTGTAAGCAAAGAGGTAAAATTTCCTAGGAAAATAACTTCTTCTGTATTTTCAATTATTTACCTCTTTGTGAACTTTAATGAAGGAGAACAATGTTCACTGAATGGACTGGTCTAACACCAATACCCGTTGAATTGTTCAGATAAAGTTCTTTAACACTATTTAATTGATATCCCATTCTCAGCCTACCTGGTGTATTCAGCAACCGGGACATCTTGCAAGAATAGGAGATAAACTGCTCACAGTATTCAGCACTACTGGTAATGGCAGAAATTTGGTCCATTGTTGCACTGTAGTTGAGCTGCAGTACAGATAACTTCTCCAGGCTGTTGCCTCCCACAGAAGTCTGCATTTGCAGATCATGGTACACAGTTGTCCATACTTTATCCTCTGAAAGAGAGGGGGAAAAAGACAAAACAAGAATTGGTTAAACACAGTGGTACTGAATTAAAATAAATCTAAGCCTTTGACAAAAGATAAGAATGTTCTGCAACGTATTTTTTGAGGGAGTAGTGGGGAAGAAGGGCATTGAAAATGAAAAGTCATTGTGTGAGAGCACAGTTCCAAACACTATGAACCAATAAAAAGAAGAAACCCTGATTGCCTTTGTAGTTTTGATAATTAATATGTCATGTGAGGAGACTTTCTTGAACAACTGATGTTGATAGTGACATACGGAACTAATAAGGATTAGCTCTGATCAGAAATTGATCAGAAGGATGCAAAGCTGATGCACTAAAGATTCAAGGTTTCCATGTGAGGAAAATTCACTGTGCATGGTAAGTTGCTGTGGGCTGGAGAGCAACACTGCTTTGCTGTGGTATAACAACATGGATGCACCAGATCCTTATATGACTGCATAATTTAGTGATTAATACTGAAAATACTGCAAATTATCAAAGTTTCCACATTTTTACCCAAGCTGTGTTCCTAAGGTAAACCAAAATTACTGTTTATTGAGACCTGAATATTTTACAATAGCTGCACCATATGACCGTATCAATTGTGTTATGGTTTGGATATCAACATAAGAAATAATAGAAGTAGGAGACTATAATAAAATATAAATATAAATATAAAAGCTTCTGTTTAGTTGTGAAAAGACAAAAGGAAGGGGGAAGGACAACCTCATTTTGGTGTAAGAAATATAGTAGCATTGGCTGAATCTCAACACTTCCCACAGCCTAGTGCAGATGCAAAAAGTGTGTAATATCCAGCCTACAACAGACTCTGTATGCATTATACTTCTTAAAACTCCTGAACAGCAAGTCACTAGAAGTGCTACTGTGTGCCATTTGTCAGTAGTTAGCAGAGGAGATTTAAGATGAGATAGCATATTAATGAAACAACACACTCCACACTCCTCTTGCTGGAAGATTTGTGGAAGTTGGAAGGTAGTTTAGAAAGGAAATAAAGAAAAGGCACAGCGATTTTCCTGTTACAGACTAAACATTACTTTTTCTTAGAGGGACATGTCACAGAACTAAAATGAAAAAAATATTATCTGAGAAAGACATAAGGTTTCAGAGTTGAAACAACGAAGATTTAGTCAATGTTAGTGATACTGTCTTCCTGTAAGAATACTATTCTATCACTTAGGCGTGAAGAACATTTAAATGCAAGCTGACTAGCTACCAGTGTGAAAAAACACTGTCTCAGCTGATAATACTCATATTGTCCATCTCAAATAGCCAAGGACTGAAATTGGTCAATCCTTCTCTGTAAATAAAACCCAGAAAATTCTCTTTTTTTTCTACAGATTATACTTTAGCATATTACCACAAAGCTTCCTAAAAGTGAATCAGGTTTTGTCACTAACATTTATCATGTATAGTTGTTTCACATATCAAGTTGTTTTTCTATTTTTCTTTCTGCCATTTTATATACTTCTACTGCTGAGGGCCAAGTCAAAGAAATGTGTCCTAGACTTGGAATAGGAAATGTGAAACCTTAAAAATGTATATCCTGGTGCCTTGAACTGGCTTGAACAGTAGCCCTGTTTCCCAGATGAGACAGCCAGGCCTTTGCCCCAGACGGTTCAGCCGTTCCTGTAGAGCAACACCACTGACTACAGTCATCCTTCCAGAGATGTAGAGACAAAGACATGCCATGCTGTTAACCTTGCTGTATTTATCACAAGAACAGATTCTCCAGGGAGATCACCTGGCAGTTTCAGAGAATAATAATTCACTTGACAGATGTTCCTTACAACAATAAAAAATATAAAATATAGTACATTGCAGTATGTTTTCAATTTGTCTATGTAAATCTCATACCTGCTAATACAGATCTCTGAGTCATTCCAAAACTTGTGGCCCAATATTGCACTTCAGTATTTTAACTACATGAAAATACAATGATAAACATAGGCATACTCAAGTGCTTCAGTACTTCTTCACCCGGTTAACAGAAATGTGCTTACGTACACTGATGAGTTTTGGATATGACCCAGAGTAAAGTTATTTTTCCATGTTATGATTATTCTTATCACCAGGACTCTCTACTCCACCTTATTTTCCAGTCTTAATTTTTACTTCATAGTGTCAGGCTATTTTGGATTACATGGAGTCATGTGGACCTGTGTGTTTGTAACTGATATGGTGCAAGTCTTTCTAATCAAATGTTTGGAGATAAGGCAAGCAAAGCGGACAGATCCTCCACAGGGAGTATGCATCACTAGCCAAACAAGATGAAATTCAGCAGGTGATGCAAGATGCTTATTATGTTAATATTCATATCCTTAGTCCAAAGCTCTATATTAAACACAATACTATTCTTACACTTAGAAAAAAATAATTAAGAAAAAGAAGGCAGGGGAAAGGAAGAAGAGTTATTTCTGTATTGCTTTAAACCCATGCCCAACTACCAAGGGTAAATTTATAATTGTCACCTGTCAAGCTATATAGAGAATACAACGCAGCTGTGCTGAGACCCTGAGATAGAATTTTACTGAAGATTAAATTTCAATACAGGATTGATAGAATTTATACATTCACTAACAGCATTGTGTCATATTTTGGAAGAACACTTTGTACATATGAGACTTATTATGTGTTAGTAAGGCATGTACTAGGCCAGTTAAGAGGCTCATCTTGGATTTCTGAGCCAGCAAAGACTCCTAGACTATCTATTAGGAAGCCATGGGAATATTATTGTCAATAGGAGCTGCGTTAGGCATTATATCTGCAAAGGGTGTCCTTTATGGATACTGAATTCCAGCTAATGCAGTCCTGACATTTGCCCTCCCAGTGGGAGAGTTTCAGGCTTTACTGTGGCACACTGTATGAAAGAAGATAGAAACATACTCATGGATGGAGCTAGGTTTGCTTTTGTGTCATTCAAGTTTATCCTCTGAATGACTTCAGGAGCTTTCTATCAAAGTACAAGTACTACTAATATATAAAAGTTAGTTACACCTTGTAATGTATATATACATATATGTATATATATGCATACATGTGCATAAAGTCAATAATCATTTATTGAAAAGCATCCCAATCTCTTCCTGCTATCTAGAAGATGATGGGAGATTGATAACCTGGCCAGTTACTGGAAGGAACTCTAGATCCAATTTCACCTGCAGTCAACTTGGTAGAATTGCTCAAATGGCTGAAAAGCACTTGATCATAGTAAGGAAAAATTTACTGGCTTATCAACGCACAGCGCTATCCCACTGGCAAGCTTCAAGTCAGTTATGTCAGACTCACAATGTACATAGGATAGAAGCAAGGGACACACAGAGGCTAACAATTCCTTGCCATTCAGTCAGCTGGCTTGACCAAAATCTGGAAATTGAAAGATCTGTGCCTACAGGTCAGGCACAGAGACACTGTAGAGGAAAAACTGTGGCTGATGTACAGGAAGGAAGTTTCTTGTCTGGGTGAGGGATTTTACACTCTTCACACATTTTTCTGATTTAACTATAAAGCCCTGCCATAAGGCATGGACTGAGACAGTCTGGGATGACAGGATCTTTCCTCAGCTGGAAGAACACATTGATAGTGTAACATGGACACAGCCAAAAATTTGTCCCTCTTCCTCACCAAGAGTAGACTTCTGCATCTCATACAGTTATGCCACTGGGTCTGGCCTTAAGATGTCTGAAAAGGCTTAAAGGAGAAATTTGTCAGGCAGGAATCTCAACCTTGTGTATTGTGTGCTGATTACAAATTGCTTTTTTCACTTCTAGTCTTAATTATTCATTAATGTAATAATATTTTCCATGGAAACCAACCAGACATTTATAGCTTCAGAATAATGACAACTTCTTCATTTATGGTTCCAGTTTCTCAGAAACTGCTTGTTCGCTGAGACCACTCTTCAGAAAGATTGAATCAGTAACCTCCTTGCAGCTTCCTTCTCTAATAGAAAAGGTAGTGCAGATAATTCATACTAACCCAAATACCTGTATCTTTACCTTTTATTGAATTATTCCTATGTAGTTGAGAACAGAATGTGGTAGTCATAGTTAATATATCAAAATCTGGAACAAAAGCTACCCTTTATTTTCTGTCAATAGTATACAGAAATCTCATTTAAGGCACACAGAAGTGAAAAATCGGTCCCAGTTAACTGTAATTTGATATCTATTCCTGGCAATTACAGTCAGCACAATATTGGTATGAGTATTCTCCTAATATGCTGGCAATTATTTTAAAAATGTGTAACTTATGGCTATTTCTAACCACAATTGTTTAGATACTTTGTTAGTCAGAACAATGTATATGACTTCTGTAAAACTAAACACACCTTTAAAGAGCAGACATCACTTAACAATTATAATGCTGTTGAGTAGCATCATCTATAAAATATCCTATGTGCTTATGACTTTTGTTAGTCAAATTAAAAACTATGATAAAATGAATTAATGTTGAAAGCAGTTATTAATAATTTAAGGATAATTATAGTAGTCTCATAATATTTCTTTATTGCAGATACTTTAACAGGAAGTTAAAAGCTAGTGTTTAAAGGAAATCTAAGTATGATTTAAATTACAAAAATGAAATAATATTACAGAAAAGTGTGGAAGAGAAATTTAAAGTAAGGGAGAGAAAAAAAAAGGGGGGGAGGTTTGTGATATTGTGAGGGGCAGCTGCCATTTCTTGGGGGCTCTGACAGTGTACTTCTACACCTTAACCCACTGTATAATGCTTTCTTTGAGGCTGGTCAAAATACCCTAGTCCAATGAGTAGTACAGTTAGCCAATGTAAGTCCTGTGCTCGGCTTTGAATTTGAAACACATACAGAGCCACAGAACTTTGGAAAAAGACATGGAAGCTGAGTAAAAAAGTACATAGAAAAAATCTTCACATGTATGTGCAATTCACACTTATGGTCAATTTCACATCATTATCTCATAAAACCCAAGAGACTTCTCAGTTGTGATGTAG